TGCTTGAACCCGGGAGGTGGAGGTTGCAGTGAGCCGAAATCGCACCATTGCACTCCAGCCTGGGCAACAAGAGCAAAACTCTATCTCAAAAACCAAACCAAACCAAACCAAACCAAACCAAACCAAACCAAACCAGACCAAACCTGCACCACTAAGAGAAAGATTCCTCCTAGTGAGAAGCAGGGGTGAGGAGGCAGGCAGGAGGTCAGGGGCATATGTGCATGGGGTGAATGGATGTTGAAAGATCAAGCTGCAGAAGCTGGAATCATGGCTAATACACACTATGCATTCTGGGAGTGGGGAAATAACTTCAGGCTTGTTCAGACCCACTGAACCCACTGAGAGACAGACTCAGAGCAAGACCCCATCTGTCACCTGGTCTTCATAAGCCCCACTCTGCAGTGGACCTTGGTCTTTCATGCTTAGGAGCAGTGGGTAATAACTCCTACAAGGCCTGGGCTATTTCCATTTCACCAGTGCAGAGTCGCCTTGGGAAAAGATCCCGGTTCCTTCTGGGGAAGGCTTAGGGCAAGATTCAAGGTATGTGCCACTTGAAACACTGCAAGATCCCTCCTCAAAGGGCTGGATGCCCCATCAGTTTTTATTTTGCTCTGCTTTAAACATGGAAGTTGGCCTAAGCTTTTCCCCAAACTCTAGAAACAACTTGCTTATAGGACACACTCGCTGCCTGTGCCTACCTCAGGGGTCACTTCTCCATTCCTTTGCTCCTTCTTTCCCAGACTTCTGCATGTCAGAACACCCCGGCACTCAATGTTCAAACCCTTTCTCTCTCTCCAGTCTCTCCCTAAATGATCTCAGCTGGTCCCATGGCCTCAAACGCCATGTATATGCTGGGGATTCTGAAATCTGTCCTCCTCTCATCCTTTCCAAGATCTAGACCCATGCAACCAATTCCCCTGCTCCATATCCCCACTGGGACATCCGAGGAGCATCTCAAACTTGTGTGGCCAAAACTGCACGATTCATCCCATTACCTCCACCTCACATCCACCTTCTTACAAGCAAATCACACCCCCAGCCATCCAGTTGCTCTGGTTAAAAATAAATGAGGGAGAAAGTGTGTAAAAAGCTCCAATGGGGTCCAATTAAATAGAATAAACTAAAAAGCCCATTATCTCATCCTATCGAAGGCTCTCCGTGACCTGGTTCCACCTGCCTCAGTGAGAATTCTCTCTACTGATGGAACAGCTTCCACTTCCACTAGTGTATTCCCAACATGCTGCCTCCTTTAGATCTTGAATTATTTAGTTCAGGAGTCCCCAACCACTGGGCCACGGACTGGTACTGACTGGTCCATGCCTGTTAGGAATCAGGCCTCACAGCAGGAGGTGAGTGGCAGGCAAGCAAGCAAAGCTTCATCTGTCTTTTCAGCCACTCCCTATTGCTCACATTACCACCTGAGCTCCGCCTGCTGTCAGATCAGCGGTGGCGTTAGATTCTCATAGGAGCGTGAACCCTATTGTGAACTGCACATGCGAGGGATCTAGGTTGACGCTCCTTATGAGAATCTAATGCCTGATGATCTGTCACTGTCTCCCATCACCCCCAGATGGGACCATCTAGTTGCAGGAAAACAAGCTCAGGCTCCCACTAATTCTACGTGATGGTGAGTTGTATAATTATTTCTTTATATATTACAATGTAATAATAATAGAAATAAAGTGCACAATAAGTGTAATGTGCTGGAATCATTCCAAAACCATCCCCCTTCCTCCCACCACCTACTTGAGGAAAAATTGTCTTTCAGGAGACTGGCCCTTGGTGCCAAAAAGGCTGGGGACTGCTGATTTAGTTCATTTGGTTCTCAAGTGATATGGTTTGGATCCGTGTTCCCACCCAGATCTCCTGTTGAATTGCAATCCCTGGTATTGGAGGTGGGGCCTGATGGGAGGGGACCAGACCATGGGGGCAGCTTCTCAGGGTTTAGCACCATCCCTCAGTGCTGTTCTCCTGAGGGAGTTCTCCTGAGATCTGGTCATTTAAAAGTAAGTGGTACCCCCACTTGTTCCCCCTCCTGCTTCCATCATGACTGTAAGTTTCCTGAGGCCTCCCCAGAAACCGAGCGATGCCAGAATCATGCTTCCTGTACAGCCTGTGGAACTGTGAGCCAATCACACCTCTCTTCTTTATTAATTACCCAGTCTCGGGCATTTCTTCATAGCAATGTGAGAATGGACTAATACATCAAGTCTCACCCACCTCACGGAGGCCTCCCTGACCAACCTCGCTAAAACAGCCCTGAACACAATCTCACAGTCCCCAGACGCAACTTACTGTCTTACCCCATTCATCATCTTCACATCCCTCATCAGAACCTGACATCATATTATTTTGTCATTTGTTTACATGTGTATTGCTTATGCCCCCATCTCCTTGTCTGGAATATAAAGGTTCTTAAGGGCAGAGATTGAAGGGGTCTGCTCTAACTAGAATAGTCTATGATGTGAGGGATGTGACAGGCACCTGGAGAACAACTATTATTACTCAGGTTGCAAGGAGCTAGAGGTGTGCATGTTTACCAAAAATTTCAATCCGAATTGTTCCCATTTGGGGGTAAATGGCTCTGAGGCTTTTTCCCTCCCAAGCTGTTTAGAGCCGTTAAGTTCATCTTACAGCACTTAAAAATATCCTACCTAAGCAAGTCAAGCACAGAGGAGACGTCAGGCAGTTTGCATTATTGGACTGTAGGTTTTTATTAAACCAAACATTTCTCATAGCTCTAAGCAAAGCATTAGAATTCATCAAGCAGACTCACATCTTTTCTCTGCACAGAGAGGGCTGAAAAGGAAGAGAAAGCCCCTATGCAGTCTAGATTTGGTAAAGCGAAGGATTTCAGTGAATGAGTCATTGAGGCTATACATGTTTGCAACTTGTAAGGCACTGGTGGGCAGAGAGCACAGATAAAGGACTTCTGGGGTCCCCCGCCCTGTCCAGCAACCTCCCAGCTCATGCCTTAGCTTCTACCAAGAAGGGTGAACACAGCATCCCCGATATCTTCACTCAGACCCCAGATGACGCAGGAAACTGCACAGCTCTGCTCCCACCGTAACTTATTAGGAGATAAATCACATTTTATCAACTTGCCATCGCGTCTCCTGTAGATTATACTTCAGAAAACCAGATCTCTCTAAATTCCTTTGTACTTTGTGCACTTCAAATGCCATGATTGTGAATCAAACACTGCCCAATGTGTTGAAAGCATTTTTACTGGAACCGCAAAGGCCCACTATGTGGGGAGAAATTATTTTTTAATACCCATTGGGCAGGACACGCCGGTGCCCCCAAGGCCGCAGTAGCCGTTGGGGTTCTTGCTCAGGTACTGCTGGTGATAGTCTTCCGCGTAGTAGAAAATCTGTCCTTCCCGGATGTCGGTAGTGATGGGGCCAAAGCCGTGCTCTGAAAGAACCTGTGGGGACACGGAAAGGCACCATCAGCTCCCATGCTAGAGAGACGGCCCCTGCGAGGGGTGGCACTGAGGGGCCAGGGCTGCAGGGAGCGGACGCATGGCTCGGGACGAGAAGTGCGTCCCTTTGGGCTGGGCTCTGTGCATTCCAAGTGGAGTGACGCTGGGCAGGGACTTACTTTGCTGTGCCTCAGTTGACTGGAAACTGAAATCAGGTTTATATCAGATTTTTAAATCTGTAATTTACACTGTACCCCCACACCCCTGCTGTCCCAGGTGCAAGTTGGGGGCCCTGGTTTGGATGCTGTGGGCCTGTTTGAAACTTGCCCCAAAGCTCTCCCAGGGGAAACAGCAGGTAAGCATGGCTCCCTGCCTGTGTCCGAGGACAAATGGATGTCCCCGAGAGGGCTCAGCAGGGCTGCAGTGGGAGAGAATGAAACGGGTGGACAGGGTAGGGATGGAGCAGGGACGGAAGGAATGGCTGCAACTCTACCTGGCGCTATCCCATCTGCCCACCAGCTCAGGAACAGGACCCCAGCTCACTCCCAGGCTAGACAGAGGGTCCCCCGCCTCGCTGTGGCTCTGGGGAGCAGGACCTTGTTGGCACGTCCTGGTGAGCAGGGCGTCACTTGGGGTCTGTGCTCTGAACTCCAGGCCAGGGATCCTGGGGAGTCAGGGCACGGCAGGACGTGGCCTGTGGCTCATCACCGCCCTCTGCGTCCTAGTTTACGTCCCAGTGACATCTGCTGCCAGGGATAGACACGCGTCAACACAAGCTGGGAGAGGAGAGAGGGGCTATTTGGGGCAGGAGACAGACTAAGAAATAGACATTGCTCCCCGTGGATTTCAGCCTGCTTCTTTTCCCCTTTGGTTTTCAGTTGTGCCCTAATTCTTTCCTGTTGCAGGCTGCTTGGAGCATGTAAGCACAGGGCCACAGAGGCTCAACCCGCTCTCACTGCCTCCATCTGGTACAGAGCTGCAAAGCAGAGCCAGGACCTGTGTTTTTACGAGGGGACCAACCACACTCTGACTGTCCGCTGGTCCATGTGAGATGAAGTCTTCAAGTCTGCCAAGCACAGTGCATCCAATATTAATATTCAGCAGGATTCACTGCTTCGGGTTTTTCTTGAGAAATGTCACTTATTTCCTGTATCTCTGTTTCACCGTCTGAGCCAGCATAAGGCCGATCCAAGATCTCAAGGCCCAGCAGCTCCAGAACGATAAGGGGCAGGGTCCCCATCGAGGCAGGTGGGTTGGACCAGCTAGCTCAGAGGCAGTCAGTTTTCTTGAAGGGGTCAGGAATGAGAATAAGAAGCCATTCTAATATAGTTTTGACAATTTTTTATAAACTAGCAATTATTGAGGGTCTACCATATGCCACGATCTGTGCAAAGACTTCACACATGTTAATTTTAGCCTCACCACAGCCACGGGAAGGAAGTCCTATTATTATCACCCGTATTTAAAAGTGTGTGTCAGACACTGTGCCTTGGTCCCTGACATTCTCAGCTCACCCCGGTACACACAGGCGGAAAGCTCGCAGACTGCATTCCCCAGATTCTGCTGCCAGCAAGGCCCTGCTTCAGATTCCACCAATGAGAGAAACTCACACGAAATTTGGCAGGCTACGTAAAAGGAGAAGCTATTCTTTGCAGGGCGCAGCTGTGAGGATGAGCGCAGGACTCTGCAGGAAGCAGAATCGAGACTCTGCCAGCTCCTCCTGGCCCTCTCCGGAGAGTCCGTGGAATGCCATCAGCAATGACTTCTGGCAATTTCAGTAACATCTTGGTATCCTGAAATCTTGGGGTGCTTTTCCCTGACCTTCACGCTAACAGCCCTGCTAACGATTCTGTAACACCGAATTCCTTTTGTAGAACCCATCCAGCTTGATGGAATGG